TTTATTCGAATCCCAAATTTGCGAAGGCCAGCAAGCAACATTTTTACAGATAAGTTGAATAATAGCTACAGTTGAACCTCTTAAAAATGACTATATAAATCGTCTTATACATTATTTTTTAATCTGAATAAATGAACTAAAACATGTAAATGCTTCAAAGATTAAAGATTATTGAAACATAATATTTATTTTAGTTAAAAAACTCTTTTTTCAAGTTGAACTAGAATCTATAAGTACCAATAACTATATGGAAATACTATATGCTCCCAAATTTCTATACTAAAGAGTATTGCGTTTCATCAACTCTTCGTTGAAGAACAGTCGACGGGCCTCAGAGTATATTCTCGTCTTCCGTTTATAAGAAAAGAAGGGCTGATGCATGTAAACAATATTTTCCAATTAAAGTTATCTTGATAATTTCTCAGAAGTATAAAACGTTCAACTGTATATGTGTCGTAGTTATGGCATATCTTTTGCTGGACTACCAGGAGTAAAAACTATATGTGCATGTATGTATAAACACAGAAGTGTAAGTCACTTTAGTGAAGCTCGACTGTAGTTAACCGGCAACTTTGTATTAGAGATGGGCACGGGCCGACTATTTTCGGCCCGACACGACACGGCCACGAAATTAACTTTTAGAAACACGCACGCGCACGCACAACGAAAATTTTTCTTAACACGGCCCAACACGGCCCAACACGAACTTTATATATATTAAATATAAAAATTAAAAAAAAAAAAAATATATATATATATGTATATATATATATATATATAACTCGTTCGCTTGTTGCAGAGCTGACAGGGATATTGAGTATATGCCTTGATAATTGCCTTAGCATTTTAAACTTTGTTGCTTTTTTCCAGAATGTTAGCACACAAATTCATGGATCAACAACACTACTTATATAAACATCTATTTCAATATCCATTCTTGACCTGTCCAATTTAATTTTTTTTTTTTGAATTATTAGTGTCCAAAAATTCAGAAAAGTCGTGTTGACTATTGGGTGCTTCGTTTTCTGATTCAAGTGTTAAATCGTTATTTAAGCTATCATTTATTTCAGTTAGCATCGATTTTAGTGTTCTTTCGTGTTTCCTCGTGCGTGTTTTGTCGTGCCTTTTTGGCTCAACACGAACACGCACGGCCACGCACGAAATCGGAATTTACAACACGAACACGCGGGCCCACGCGTGGCACGAAGTGCCACGACAAAAAACACGACCCGTGCCCAACTCTACTTTGTATGTGGAGCAGTTGTTGCCGATTGCTGTTGCTACAATTTTAAAATGTTGTTTGCATATGACATAGCACACATGCATACATACATACATATATGTATGTATGTATGTACATATGTATGTGCATAGAGATGTGTGTATGTTTATAGTTCTAAAAGTTCTTATTGTTGTTATTACTGTTCATTATCTTATCGCCCAAACAAAACAGCATTCTTGTTGGCAGAGCAGGAGCAGCAACATTCACTGTCGATGTATGTATGTATGTACATATGTATGTAGGTATGCGTTATAAAAACACAGAAACACACGAAAACTACAACAGCAAAGCACAAAAATATATATATATGTACATACAATGTGCTTATGTGTTATTATATGATGTTTTTTATGTAATCAACAAAAACAACACCACATGCCATACGCTCTCGAAGTTCTCAAAAAAAGCATGTGGAGAGGAGCAAAGTCAAAGCTCACACACACACACTCACTCACGCACGCATATACGCACTCACGCACGCACTTGCCGGGAGAGAGGTGAAACAAAAAAAAAAAAAAGAGGCGCGCGCGCTCATTCTTTATTTTGGTGGGTGTGGGTAGGGGTGGGCGTCTCTTTTAGTTGTTGCAAGCAATTCAGAACTGGGACGATGAGCTCTGGGCACCCACAATTAACAGCGACGTCTAGTTCTACATACCAACACACGCACATATTTATGCATGTCTGTATGTAAGTACATAAATAGTATTTATGTATGTAGGGGTGTGTTTGGCTTGTTAATAGTTTCGCTTTGCCCCCCAAACGTCACGTCAAGAAAATTGAAAAAAAAAATATTGACTCTTCCTTCATTTTCAATTAGTTTTTAATGCCCTTGCATCCGAAAGGTTTTATTGTTATATATTTTCTTTTGTAGTACATACATATGTACATATGTACACATATACTTTTCGTGTAAGTTTCAAGGAATTTCCAATTGTTTTTAAAGTCGCAAACTGCCTGCCTATATGTACATACATACATATGTACTTAGCAAGCTTTATTATTAACATTTTCAAGTGTTTATTTTTATTCGTTTATTTTTTGTTGTTCTTTTTTGTTGCATAATCTGTGATAGCTGATTTAAGCATTTGTTGCTGTTGTTTTTAATTGCATAGTTTTTAACACTCACGTGAGCGTCGATCTAACAACGTTGACATCGGCCGCGACGCAAGCAGCAATGTTCGTGGTTACCGGGCGGTACAATTTTCAATTTAATTATGATCATGATAATGACGCAATGATAATGAAGCAATGACGAGGTCGCTTTACTGCTGTTGGTGAGTGAGCGTCAGCGGGGGCGGAGACGAAGACGGAGAACAGAGCGACGCTTTATCACACGCCACATACAGTCATATATACATACTTGTATATACATATGTACATATGTATGTACACACACACACACACACACATATGAATAAAAATGCAAATTAAAACGTCTGCAATAAGCAGATAATGCAAAAGAGCGCAACGCAATGCATTTAGGGAAAATAAAACTGAGAGAGTACATGCAATGTTTTCTTTAAGTGTCAAAATGTTAATAACATTAATGAAAACAACAGCCATGCTATTTTAAAAATATGTATATATGTACATACATACATATGTCACAATTCAACTGCATTACACAATACATATGCAAAATTAACAAAAACAACAATATACGAACTAAGACCGAAGCGCGAAACAGCTGCAGCGCCGGCGTCGACGTCGGCGTTAACAGCGATGGTGTTCCTTTGTGTGCGTATGTGTGTGTAAACGGTGATTTTTTCGTAGTGGGACGCCAAGTTGTTGTTATTATTGTATATGTTATTGCTGACTGCCCCACAGTCACGTCGCTGTATGCGTGAGAGAATAAAGCAATGGTCTGACAGGCAGATAATCGCCATGCGGACACCAAAATATCGGTCCAATTCGTCTGCCACATGTCTGACCGGCCGATAATCTGCACGCTGACGTCTGCCAAATCGGTTCTGTTATGTCGGCAACAAACAATTAGATAGTCTGAACGCACGTGTGCGGATTTTTATTCGGTTGCCAGGTTGGTTCTAGCAAGCAGATTGTCAAAAGCCAACTAGGGCCGATTCGGTGTGGTTGTTGTTGCAGATCGTTTAAATGTAATTATAAATAAAATCACGAAATAATTAACATAAATTATTTTAGTGCCAATTGTCTGCCCGTCTGACCGGTGCTTCAGTGATTACATTTGAGAGGGTCGGGTATTACTCAGTCAATAGACCATGCACAACGATAACAATCGTAATAACAGTAAACAGTAAAGCGGCTGAGCTGACCAGCTGCTTGTTTATACTAGTACATGCATATATACATACATACATACATACATAAGTATATTCTTATACGTACGTACATTCCCACCAATACATATTTTAGTCGATTGGGTGATGAGTAAGCAAGACACATCAAATCAAAATACATGCTTACATACATACATATGGAATGTATGTATATACATATGTATGCGGCATTTCGAAAAATTCCCACTCGTGATTTGGATTATCGAAAGTTACATATGTACATATACCTATGTACATATACATATGTGTGTGTATCACGCGGTAATGTCTAGTAAATGCAAATATACCAAATTTTATAACCGAAACTAGATAGGCATGAGGCCAACCAATCGCGTGAGCAGAATCAAAATTGTGATCTTCGTGAATATATTTTGCGTAAAATAACACTCACTGGCAGTCTCGTGAGTGAGTTTTTAAGACTACCGGTTAATCAATTGATATACAATCGTTAAGCAAAACATTTAGGTTCCGTTTCAAGTTTGAATAACACTAAATTAACCGGTTTGATAACGTTTCGAAGACATATCGGTTTAAAAAAAAAACAGTAATGGATGTTAAACCGTTTTAAACAACGAAGAATTATCTGAGGTACTATACAATGCAATTTCGAAGCGAAATCCTTTCGCAAATTTATTGAAAATTATGCGCAGCTAAAAAATTCAAAGCAACACACACACACATTAACAATAGCTATCGGCGGATTGTTGGTATTAAAAATCTGTGTGTGCTTGGAACGTCAACGTCACTGCAGAGAGTAAATGAAATTAGTATGCGGGCGCCGTTGTGACTACATACACATACAAACGTACATACATATATACAAGTATATATATATATATGCATACATACATATATTGTTGTTGTTTCTTTTTTTCTATCATTGTGGTTGTTGTTGCAATCGTTCTGTTCGATTACGGCGCTCGCTTGCAGTTTCATTTTCTACATATTCTAATTTTAATTTTCGATTGTTGTTACTGTTTTGTTATTGTCGCCACGACCTAAACGGGGCCTCAAAACCATCCGTATGGTCGACGAAGCCAACGCCGACAGCGGTGTGTGCGTTGTGCGGGCGACTGCGGCAGGGGAGCATCAACAGAAACACCAACAACAACAACAAACCGCAAGCAAACGCGGGGGTCAGTTAAGGCTGTATCGACAAATACACATGCATACAAGTAAAAAATAAATAAACGAAGAAAGGAACGCTTTTGTTTGACAGTTTTTCTCACGAATGCACATACACATATGTACACACTAATAGCAGAAATAGCAACAACAATGTGTCACACTAAAAATATTTCTTCGATTTCGGTGTTGTTGCTGCCGCTTGCCGCTAATTTAAAATTAAATGTATCTACGTTTATATTTTTTAAAGTTTTTTTTTTGCTTCATTTTGCACTCACATTTTGTGTTTTTGTTGTTCTTGCTGTTGATTTTTGCCAGCCCGTTGCCGCCTCTTTGGGGCACGCACTGTTCGGTTCTCTTTCTTCACACCACACTCTCTCTATGGACAGACGAGCCGCTCTCTTACTGTGCGCTCCTGCGGCAATTGCTATATTTTCTCTCCTTAGTTAACTTTTTTTTGGCGAATTTTAACCAAATCCTAAACTTTTGACACACGACGCGCACATTAATGTAATAAAAAACTGAACTGTCACTTGAGGCAACAAAAAAAAAAGTGCATACCACGACAACTTAAATTTAGAAATCTGTTATGATTTTGTTATACTTTTGAGCGTGTAATCAAAGTCTTAACAATTTTACTTTGTCTTTCGAGCTAGTGCTGCGGTTGTTGATACTTTTTATTTGTTGTATTTCTTATATGTCGGTGTCACAGTCGCAGCACTTCGGATACGTCCGTTGCGCTGAAAGGCACAATGCAAAATGAATGAGACAAGCGGCAAAGGCAAAGCCAAAGCAAACGCAGTAGGCGGCGCTGCTTCTGCTTCTGCTGCTGTCGCAATCGCTGACGTGATGATGACGTTTTGCTGAGGTGCTTTTGTTGCAACGGCGACGCACAAACATCCACAACGGCCACCATGACATAAAGCAGGTATTAGATATAGCATTGTGCGGATGCTCGATGTTCTCTTCTCGTGACGTCACAAGGCGTAGCCATAATGTTTGCATTGTATTAAGTTTCTCATACAAATTGCCGCGCAGTAAGTCTAATAATATTTATACTTGGTGTAGCCAGAAGTAATTAAATAATTAACAAGTAGTGGCCTCTTTTTAGCCGTGGCTTATACAAAGCATATTATGACGTACCTGCGTAGTGAGAGTAAAAAATTATTGCCATACTTTTCCTCTTTTTATCATAAACGGCCACATTTGTCAACACAAGCGGCAACAGCGGCATTGGCGTTGCCAGCTCGACTTACTGGCTGACTTGCTTTTGTTTTTATTGCGTAGTTTTTTGCACGTTTTTTAATCTAATTTGGCCGCACAATTATAAGAAAACACATGGCAATATACTCTCTTCCTCTCTATTCCACTCTTCTATACGCGGAATTAATAGCTTGTGCTCTCTTTCTGAGCATGCGGGTGTATGTACACTTAGAGTAAGAGAGTGAATGGTGAGAGCGAAAAAATGGTTCGTAAGCGCGTGGCAAACACATGGTTTTTGTTTTTGGCAAAAACCAGCGCCAAAGAAGAAGCCAGCGGACGTTTACGGTGGTATAAATACAAGCATGCCCATGTGCATGCATGTGTACGTGTGTAGCTCCAATGTAGCTACATTCTTACTGGCACACAGTGGGACCATCATTCACAAATATTTAAAAGTTTAACTATTATTCTAAAGTTCGTCTATCAGAAATTTAAGCGGTCTTCTATCTTTAAAGATATCACACAAAGTTCCTTTTAAATAAATGGGCAACCTTTTTATTTATAAGAAAAAAAAGACACATTTCTATATTATTAACTTCTTTGCCTAAGTGTGTTTTTTTATTAACTGTTTAATCATTTCTGTATGTTTATTCATACAACTTCTCAGTTTTCCTTGAACAAGAACCATCTTTAATACCTACACCACTGTGATCTGTTTATTCTTACTGTTATTATATCGGACCACAGAAACATTGGTCGATCAAAATTCACATTTTCCGGAGGTTATTTAATTATTTGATTCAAAAATTTACTTTTGTATTACTCCACTTTCTGAAAAACGTGCATGTATGTATGTACATATCTATGAATTAATTCATATGTATATACATACATACATATGTACATAGTTGTCACATAGTGTGTTTACTACCCTGAGAAGAAAAAGTCAATCGCACAGGGCCCACGGACACTTGCACGAACAGTATGATTGTATGTATAAATGTATACGCTCGCATACAAAGACACTGGCGTACCGCAACACCCGCGCGCAAATAACAAAAACACAGATACAACACAACTTACATACATACATATACATATATAAATGTACATGATTGCACGCTACTTAAAACATTGTATCGGTATTTAGTTGATTTAACAAAAACGAACTGGAAATGCGTAAAATACAAAAATTCCGTTATTGTGTTTTCCATGTGAGTAAAAGTACATATATACATGAAATATGTATATGTACATACATACATATGTTATGTATTGCTGTTATATGTTGCGTTCTAGTTTAAGCAAGGTGCTTGGGGGCGGGGCATTGAGGACAGACAAGAGAGCCAAAGTCGTCGCACTTATTTCATCACCAAGGCGGTACACTATTAATGAAAATGAATTGTAATACGAACGTGTTAATTAAAAAGAGAGAGGGAGAGAAAAGTACGGCTGCGCCGTTTTAAGTGATCGTGCAGCATTTGTTTTGTTTGTGTTTCTCTTGTACACTGCAGTAAAAACAAACAAACAACAACAAACAGCTAAAATCATCAATATACCATATTTATGTACATACTTACATTCATAATACATATACATTTGTATAGAGCAATACAACTGTTTTATTTCACAGGAAAAAAAAGAAAGCCAGGCTGGTAGTAATGCTGTTTTTATCGGTACGGCGATAAGCGTCGCGAGAGAGAGAGAGCAAAGTTCTTATCGTTTGTCACTCAATTATACTAATTTTATGATTGCGTTCTCACACAAAACATATGGATGTATGTATGTATGTGTTCACAGCTATGTATGTATGGGTGTGCGGGAGACAAACCAAAATACAGCCGTTGAGAGCGCTACAAACATATGTACATTTGTAAATCATATGCTCCCTCTCTTCGGACGGAGAGCAACAGAAAAACACGGACTTTTTTTTTTGCTGGTTTTACTCTAATTGGAATTGTGCGCTGTTTTCCGGCCGGTTTTTGGCCAAGAGATTTGTTGCGTTAGTGGGAGCGCGGTATAAACGTGGCTGCTTGCTTAAATGGACAAACAGATACACGCATACCCATAATAAATAGACGTTTGTACTTCCATCTATACACACATACATACATATGTATGCATGTGTGTACATCTGTGGGCAGCAGACAAACGCGCAAGCTTAATGAAAGAATAACGTGCGCCAGTGTGGAAAATAGAACAAATGAAGCAAAAGGCAGTGAGAAACACGCAATACACTCCGAGCGGAGGCAAACAAAAAACTACGAGGTTAGATTAAAAAACTAATATTAGATTCCAAGAATCCAAATATATCCTTAAAAATTACTTTAAGAGAATAAAATGAATCTATTCAATTATTCTATACTATATCGGTTTGAGCTCCTAAATTGCTGAGACGGTTGCATACGTAAGCCAGTTTTTTTTATTTTAGAAAATTTTGAAAAGTTTTTATATGTAAGCATGTAAGTACTGTCTTTTTTGCACACAAATTTTCAATAGTTATTTAATTTAATGATATATTTATAGGTGGTCCAACGCGAGGGAAATACGAAGGTCACTGACTCATTGAACCGCCCTCGTTTTTAATAGAAAAACGGCGTGACTTTTGTTACTAGCAGAGACGTCGGCAGCGTCCGACGACTACGGCGGCTGTAGAAGCTGAAAAACTAACAAACAAAAAATATGTGGGACAAACAGCGCTCTATGTGGCGCATAAACAAAACGAGCGCTAAAAGAGCGACAGAAAGAGCGAACTAGCAGACACTGAGATAACAGAAGCAACCAAGCAGCCCCTTCCCCTCTCTTCTATACAAATTTTGTTTACACACAGTTTTGGACGCTACTGTTGGCAACGCTGTCGCTGCCTTCGTTTTTGGCGTTGTTTCTTTTTTTGTTATTGTTGTTGCCATCGTCATTTGCCATGCGGTTCGTCTGGGTCTGGTTATACAACCTGCGGCCCGGTAGACCCGTCCAATAAGCAAGTGAAATTGCTTGTGATTGGAAATTGCAATGTAAAGGAATTTCAATAGCGACGAGAGCGAGAGATAAAGTGAGAGGACGCGCGAAAAACCAGTTAAAATGAAATAACAACAACAACTGGCCAGAGAGCGTGGCCAAGAAAACAAAAACAGTTAAACAGGTGCAAAAAAGCATAACAAAGCGGCGTGAGGGAGAGCGCAAAAAGGTCACACACACACACACACATGTGCAACGTAAAAAAAGTGCGACGCGTGCTTGGCACCGTGTGTTTAAGACACGCAAAAAATGCTGCCAACTAATATTTTATTCTGATTGTTGTTGCTGTTGCCTGAGCAACGTTATTCGCAATCAACATTTAAGGCATTAAAGTTAACCTAGAACTGTCGTGGTGCAAGCTGCCTTGCCTGTCAACACTCAACATGTGATGGCAGAGAGAAAATATTAAATTTTTAGTTGTCTTTACTTTGTCTTCACATGTACACACATATGTATGTATGTATGTATGTATATGCATACATATGTATGTATGTTGATAACAGGGAACGTAGGCTATGTTTTACGTCATAATCTCAGCCGACAGCGAGATCAACGGATCACTTAACGCAGCAAAAATGTTTCAAAAGGCATTTTCCTCCACATACACACACAAATGCATAAGCTGAACATTTATGTAGACTGACTTACATATACATACATTCAAATATACATACATATGTACATACATACATACAAACTTATGTATGTTTGTATAATTAGTTGTGTATGTACCACCATATAATCATGTGATACCAAAAATAAAGAAAAATGTGAAAATCAAACAACGCGATGCCAACAACGGCAGCAGGAGCAACAACAACAACACCATCAACGACGCTAACATTTGGCGTCAACTAAAAAATCACAAGCAAAAGTGGAGCATAAAGCAAACGATCAAGTTTGTGCATCGGTCGAACGATCGGGTGGCCGGTGGGGTTTTTCTTTACAAGCAATGCATTGAAAATTTGCATTTTCTTTGTATGTAGGTATTTACATTTGTAGTTTACACAAACAACAACAAAAAGTGTCAAACGGTTGGATGGCAACAATTAGGAAAGGCATTACGCACAAATTAAAAACAAAGAAAAGAAAAACAAAACAAACTCAATAGTATTATTGTTGCTTTTATTAGTGCGACGGCGTGTATTAAATTTCAATGAAAATGAGCAAAATGTGAGCGCCCAGAACAAAAATCAAATTAAAAGCGCACACACACACACTTTAAATGAAATAAAATGTTAAAACATCAACAAGAAACACACACATACATTTGTATGCATGTGTATATACATATGTATGTATATGTCTGTATTTAGCGGTGTTGTTGACGACGCTGGGGACGCTTTCGTTAAAGAAGAGAAGCAGCAACAACAATGTTGATAGAGCACAGTGGTGCGATGTTAAAAACATAAAAACAAATAATTTTGCTTAAATTGTTTTTAGCGAACCTCTACAATTTCTTTTCACAAGGAAGTGTTATTCATTGTATT